CCCTCCCTCCCTCCCTCCCTCCCGCCGGGACCCTCCTCTCAGCCAGGAGCCCAGACAGGGTCTTGCTCAGGCACTGCAGGAGGGCCCTCCCTCCGGGGGCCACAGAGGCTCTGGGAAACGCTTACAGCCGGGGTGCAGCTCAAAGCCTCCTACGGTGGCCGCCCAATTAATGCTGCAGAAGAGAAACGCGATTTCACGCACAGGGAAACCCCCAGAGCTCCAATCAAAACGGACGCTCGCATGAAGAGACATAATGGTTCTGCGCTGGCCCGCTCCTTTTTCGGCATGTGGCTACTAGCACCCCACCAAAGTCAGGGTGCCCCTGCCTTCAGGAGAGGAGGGGTCTTCCAGCCACTCCACCCATCGCCCCCTCCCTGCTACCCACCTGGCACTACTCCGTTGGTTGCGATGGCGCTCATGGAGATGGCCGTCAGCATGGTCTGTGGGGAGAGAAGGCAGCTGCGTTGGGGCTGGCAGGGCAGGGCAGGGCAGGGCAGGGCAGGGCAGGGCAGGGAGGGGCAGGGTCAGCTGACTCCAAGCAGCCCCCGGGACCAAGGCCACCCTTCCCCAGCAAGTTTGGGGGTGACTTGGCTGATGCCCAGGGAGGAGGAGTCGCAGAAGGCGTGGGGGGAGCGAGACTGGAAGCAAGGGGGAACCTGAAGTAGTTCTCCAGCCCAAGGGGTTGGCGTAACCTCGCTTGCTGCTCCCCAGCTGGTGGGGCTTTATGCCTGGGAGGTTTCCCTGGGGGGCCAGGAGGGTCTTCAGCCCCAAAGGCAGCCATTGGGAGGAGCGCCTTACCTGAGAGCCCTGGGCCCAAGGAAGCCCCACCTTTGCAGGGCAGGATCTGCATGGCTGGGCACAAGCGTGCTCTCGGGCAACCCACAGCCCGGCCTCCACCAGCCTGGACTTCACCCCAGGACCGGAGGCCGGGCTGAGGGGCCGCAGGTTTGGCCAGATGGCTGCAGCTGGGATTGGCACCCAGTGCCCCTGGGGGAGAAGCAGTGAGCCCGGGCGGGTCGGACACTCTTCAGGGAGGAGCTGCGCAAGAGGCAGAGAGCTCTCCCTCGGGCCAGGCTGGGGGCTGAGATTAATCAGCCATCAGGCTCCGCCTCCCTGCACCGCTGTCTGCCCGGGCAGGGCATCTGTGCCCAGCCTGGGCATCAGCTGCCTTTCTGGGTCTCGCTTGGCTGCCCACCTCCTCACCGAGAGAAGATAGCGAGGCTGAAATCTCAACGGGCCAACAGGGGGTGGGGGCTTTCAAGGTTCTGGGTGGGCCACGGCTGGACGACCCGCTCGGGAGCTGATGCGGGGGAGCACATTTGGCTAGGCCCTCCCCCTGCTTGGGCTCTTCTTCTTCCTGCTGGACGGGGACTCACACACGAGCAGCAGAGGAAGACCATGCAGAAGGACTCCATGATGCCAGAGATGCCCACCACCCAGGTGAGCCGGAGGAAGAGGATCACGCCAAAGATGTTCTGCAGGCAGGGCAGGTAGACGCCCATGAAGGTGCCCATCCGGGGGGCCTGCGGGAAAAGCACAGGGCTGTGCGGCTGCGCCCAAGCAGGGTGGGCTCCCTCCCCCCAGCAGGTGCTTGAGGAAGGCTTGAGAAGCGGCCCTGGTGGACTCTC